TCTGGGGTGAGGTGGAATCTCAGCATTGTTTTCATTTGCATCTCTCGAATGACCAGTGATGTTGAACATTTTTTAAAATGTTTATTTGCTCTTTCTACTTCTTTGTCTGAGAAATGTCTGTTCATTTCAGACACTCATTTTTGGATTGGGTCTTTAAATTTGGGGGTTGTGATTTTTTAAAGTTCTTTATAAATTCCAGATAGCAGACCTTTGTCTGAGGAACAGCTGGTAAAAATTTTTTCCCACATTGTGGGTTGTCTCTTCACTCTTGGTAGTTTCTCTTGCTGTGCAGGAGCTTTTTAATAAGATGATTTCCAGTTGTGATTCTTTGTGCTGGTTCCCATGCAACTGAGGTTTTGTTCATGAAGTCTTTTCCTACACCAGTGTCTTCAAGAGTTCTACCTAACCTCTCTTCCACCAGGTTTAGTGTTTTTGTTTTAATATTTAGATCTTTGATCCATTTCAATTTTAGTGTATGTGGTTTTTTTAAATAAAATGAAGTACTACTCAGCCATAAAGAATGAGAAACTAGGGCATTCATGGCTAAATGGATGCACATCGAGATCATACTCTTTTAAGTGAAATAAATAGGACACACATGTGTAAATGCTGAATAGTTTCTCTAGTGTGAGAAACTGAAAGTGTAAATGAGGATCAAAATGTATAATAGATAATGTGAAATAGGAAGAAAAGGTCCAAAGGGGAAGGCAAAGGGGAAGTGGGAGGGGTAGGGAAAAGGAAAGAAGGGAAAGGAAAAAATAAGAGAAAAGGAAAAAACAGAAGCAAAGTCTGTAAATAGGGAGGGATGGAGGGGTTGCTGGGAGGGCTGGGGAATGGGGAAAAATAAGAACCAAGATACATCATGTAAAGATACAAATTTCCAATGATGAATGTCATCATATTGTATACCTAAAATGTACCAATAAATTTAATGAATTTTAAAAAATCAGTTTTAATTTTAAGAAATGTGGACACTTTTTAAAACACTAGAGGTTCACATTCCCATCAGCAACATGTGTCTCCCTTGATGTGTGACTTCAATCTTTTGTCTGGATGGTCACAGGCTTTTTTAATCCTTCAAATGACAGAACTATGTTTGTCTACTGATTGTTCTCTGTCATTATTTCTTCAGGATTTTCTTGATTCTATATTTAAATGTTTGTTCTGTCCCATTTCTCTGGTTCTCTTCTTCAGGACCCCTGTTATGTGTATGTTGATATTCTTTTCGGACTTCCATAGCTGTTATTTTCTTTCTTTGCTCATTCTTCTCTCTTGCCCTCTAAATTCCATACCTGACTTTTAGCCTTTTCCCTGTTGTGTTGTTTCTAACATGGCCTTGTTTCTCTGATGCTATTGTTTTTCTTTTTAAACCCAGTTAGCCACATTTCAAGTGCTCAGAAGCTGCTCCTGGGTGAGACAGAACAGCTTTCAGATGAATGGAATTTCGGGCCTGCAGCTCTGGTGCCTTGCCTAGCTCTCAGCTGCTGCAGTGCCCCGATCTCCCCAGGCATCGCTGAGAAACTCGAAGGCTTTGAAACAATGTGCAAGCTACTTGACAGTCTGTGTCACCGAGGTGAATTTCATGTAGAAATGAACAAGGAGTCTAACTTGTGGCTGTAAAGTCTGGGGACTCATCTGGGTCCAAACTCTATCTAAACTCTTGTATCTTTAATAAGAAAATTTTGAAATCATTAAAGAACAAATACATTCATCATGAGCAATTGTTTATTTTCTTGTTATGAAAATAAAACACTTCATGAACAAGTTAAATATTAAATTCCTAAAACATCTATGATGGCCAAAAACTACGTACATTCATTATTCCTAAGGCATTTATGTGAGGACAATATGAGCTATGCTGCGGAATAGTAGCTTTGGTGGCACCCCATACCTAACATTTTTATAGTGTGTTGTAATATATGGACGATTTTGAACTTAGAATGAGGTTAATTCCTCATAAACTCATCATAAACTGAAAATATCACAAGGTGGAAATACATTTAAAACATCTAACCAACCCAATGCTACACCTTAGCAACACAATATACTGGAGAGAAATTTTTGTTTACCCTCATGATTGAGTGGCTGACTGAGTCTTGTAGTTGGCATCACAAAAGAGAATCACATGCAGGAAAAGATCAAAATTCAGAATGGTTTATGCTGAATGTATGTGGCTTCTGCATCATTATAAAGTCAAAAAATTGTAAGTCAAAGTACCATTAAGTCAGAGACTATGTGTATAATCACTTTACATTTGTATTTGAGAGATTATGAGAATATTATTGCCCTATGAGATTGGAAGATATCATTAATAATGCTCTGTTCAAAGATGAAGAAACTGAAGCACTTGTGGTAGGTTGCCTTGTTCAAGTTTATATAGCTAGTGAGATACAGAGCTTGAACTTAACCTTTGAGCCTACTAATCCTAACTCCTGCGCTTTTCAAATTACATCATATATCTTACCTGGCAATCACTAACACAAAGAATGCATTAGCAACCAATTTCAGCATTTTCTATGACATATCTTAATATATTTCAGGTCTACATGTCCATTCTATAGAAGAAAACAGAAAAGAAAACAAAGTTATTTGGGATCCAGGAAAAGGCCACAACTCCAACAACTAAGAGAGTGGGCATGGCTCTTGCAGAAAGAACAAGACAAAGTATATAGTTATATCAGTTTTAAGTTGCAGATTTTCATTACTTCACCAATAGCATTAAAAAAAACATTAAATTTTATCATTATTTGAAGCCCTCAACTACAACAACTGTCCAAGTCTGTTTACCTTGAAGGGCTTTATGTTTTGCCACAGTATATGAGGAAAATGCTCTTAAAAATAGTATTTCATAAAACTAAGTGTTACATCCTAGGTTATATTATTTCTTGGTGTTCATTCCCCATTCACAATCTTTGAACACATTCACATCTAGCTTGTTTTAAACACATTATCTCCAAAACAATAATTCATTTTAAAGGTTTTCATTTGTTTCTTGCTGACAATACAAAATTAGTTCCCCTACAGGGTTCCTGTTCTAAGAAATTAGATCCATTTTCAAGAGTCAATGATAATCACACATCAAATTAAACTTGCTTGGCAACTTGAATTATAGAGGCTTACATAACAGATTGTGTAAGTCCCACAGAAGTTTAGAGAATAAGGCCATAGCTCTGCACTGTATTTACCTTTTATTAAAAATAAATGCAGATATCATTCTTGACAATCATTTTGTCCTCCAATTTGTTTTTGTCTCCTTCATGTATTTTAGGAGACTGGAGATTTTTTTTTTTTTGTACCAGGGATTGAACTCAGGACCTTGTGCTTGCAAGGCAGGGGTGGTGCCACTAAGCTAAATCCCAGGCCCAACTGGAGATTTTTTAAAACCTTATTTTGTTGTTATTTTGGTGAAATGGGGAGAACTTCTAAATCTCCATTTGGCTCTCCTAAAGGACAGCAGTGAATTATCTATTTGAAATCAGACTTTACTATTCTTAGTTCCAGAGTGAAAATTAAAGTAGAAATAATTTAAAACATAATAATAGTAACAAAAATAAATCCTTTAAATTTACTAGTTAAAAGGTACATGTTGCTTAATTATACTTTTTTAGAAACTCAGATACTTAGTACTCAAAAGAGATGTACTTAAAGCACAAGGATACAGAAAATACAAAATACAAAATGATAGAAAAATTTTATCAAGCAAATATAATTTTTAAAAGCAAATGTTATTAAGTTAATAATAAATAAATTTAAAGAAAAATTAATAAATGTAGAAATAGCCACCAGGAAGATCTAACAGTTTTATACTTAAATATTACTAATGAAATATCACAAAAATATGCACAGTAAAAATTGTAGAATACAAGAAAAGTGTGACAATTCATTATCAGAAATATCAATACTGTTTGTTCAATCTAGATCAAATAGCAAAAACTAGTATACATGCAGCTATTAACTACATAATTAACAAGCTATACCTAAAAAACATGTAAAACATTACAACCAATAATTAATGATGTAACCACTTTTTTTCCAACACATGAGAACACTTTCAAAGGTTAACAATAAATGAGGACAATATAAGGTCATATTTTAGGACTGCAGTGTAATTAACTAGAAATTGATAAGAAATTTATTTTTGTTATTACAAACAAATACACACACATCTCTAAATTCCTTTGTCAAGAAATAAATTGTACTGGTATCTAAAATTCTTAAAACTGAAATAAAATGATTTCATATCAAACATTCATATATCAAAACTTCAGGGATATAACAAAAGAGGAAAATTTTACTACTGAAAATATAATTTACAAAAGAAGACAATAAACAATCTGAGTATTCAACTCAACAAATTAAGAAAATGAAGTATTAAGCACAGTGCTGAGAGCTGCCCAGCTGGGTAGGCCGTCCTGGTTTAGGATTTCTACTGGCTGCAGGCTGCAGGAAGCACCCGGGGAGACCCTCCAGCAGCCATGAAGGCAGTGACCTTTGAGGATGTGGCTGTGGACTTCACCATGGAGGAGTGGGCTTTGTTGAATCCATCCCAGAAGAAGCTCCACAGGGATGTGATGTGGGAGAACTTTAGGAATGTGGCCTCTATAGGAAGAAAGTGTGATGATCAGCAAATTGAAGATGAGTACAGAAATTACTGGACAAATCTAAGAAGTGCAGATGCAGATAAATGCTGTCAAGATAAATTACGGTGTCAACATGGAGAAATGGTTTGTGTGATTTCTGGTCCAAATGTGCCCATGAAATTGCTTGGTGTAAAACCAGGTGAAAGCCTTGAATGTGGAAAGCCTCTGATTGGTCATTCATCACCAATTGTGCCCATCATAAATAACACTGGACTTAAATCATATGAGCTCTGTGGATTTAAACAGAAGCTGTCTAAATATTATAGACATGGGAAAGCTTCCACTGACTTTCAGTCCTTTCGAAACATGAAAAGACAAATCCTGAAGAAAACCCTTATAGATATAAGCAATGTGAAAAGTCCTACTCTGATGGCACTGAAGGAAATAATGCTAAAGAGAAATCCTTTGTATACAAGCAAGATATTAGAGCCTTCAGTACAGCCAACCATGTTCAAATCCAGGAAAGAAATCACAGTAACATGAATACCTACATATGTATACAATGTGGAAAAGCATTGAATTCTCACCATGATATCCAGAAACATGAAAGAGCTCACACTAGAACAAAATCATATGTAAATAAAAACAGTTGGAAATTATTAAAAAAAGAAAAAAATAAAATGAAGTATGCCAGAACTGGGGCTGTAGCTCAGTGGTAGAGTGCATGCCTTGCAGGGCAGGAACCTGGGTTCCATCACCAGCACCACACACACATACACACACACACATACACACACACACGCATGCACACACTCAAGGAAGAGGGAGAAGGAGGAGAAGGAGAAAAGGGAGCAGAAGAAGAGGAAAAAAAGGTAAACTAATAAAGTAGAGAAATGAAGAAATAAGACCAGAAATCAGTAAAATATAAATTCAATAGATGAAATCCAAAAGCTCATTCTTTAGACCAACAGAACAAAGAAATATCTGCTGGACCAATGGCACAGGATGGAGTGGAAGTGAAAGAAGCATAGACATCATCAGGAAAAATTTTAAAATAAAAATATAGAATTGAGATAGAAAGATACAAAATACTGTGAACAACTTAACCCAAATACATTTGAAAACAAATTTATCAGAACTGATATAAGTGAAAAGTCTGAATAATTCTGTGGCTAATATCGCAGCCAGAAAGTAGTTACAAAATATTACCTCCCCTTAAAAACACAAGATCTAAATTTACAAGTTAATTGTATCAAACTGACAACAGATAATTTTATAGTCTTTCTTAGAGAACTGAGAGACAATGATTCACAACTCATTTTTATTAAACTAGTGCAATCTTGATGATGACAATAAGAGAAAGGAAAACTTCACATTAATGCTTCTTATTAGTATGGATGTAAAACTACACCCAAAAGTGTATGAGGAAGATAAAAGGTCACCAAATTGGATTTATCTCAGGATGTACGGCTAGATACATGAAAAACAAAGCTATAGGTTATGAAACTCTAGTCTTAATGTTTTTATTTGTCACCATTACCCAGGCTCCTTCTCATCTCCAAATGATATAGTGCAGCTCCCAAAACCTGTTACAACTGCAACTCACTCAGGCTGAGTGAGTGAAGTACCTCTGACCATTAGGCCTCAAATCCAACCTCCTCCAAATACCCTGAAGCTCAGGCTGTCATAATTCTTAACCTTGCATTCATCATAGTCAGTATCTAAAATGTAAGCTTTCCTTGCCACCTGTTCTCTTTCCCTACTTTCTGCCCACTCCTAACCTGTCCTTGACTGGAATACTCTATGGTACCATCCTTCATCTCTACAACAGGCTGTCCATTTTGCACTGTAAATTCAGCATACTTTCCTTTATGTTCAACCTCTCTCCAAGCATTCCTTTCATGTTTGGCCATAATTGAAACCTGGCTCTTCAAAGCATATACACTTTCCCTTTATAGCTTTTAAGTGTTGATTGCATATTATTTCATAATATAAATATCCTTCTTGGCACTCCACTCTGTCTCACCACAGGTCATTGTTCTCATTCACTTCTGTAAAATTTCTATTTATCTTTTAGGCTTATATTATTTGTATGCGGTAATTTTTTACTATGTTTGTAACTATCAACTATTGACTTACTAAATTCTCTCAGTTATCAAAAGCTTGACTCACATCTATCTTTATGCATCAAGTCCTATCATCAGGCACCTACCCATAATCTTTATTAATAAGAATCTAATCTCCACTTCATTTATCCCTGGCAGTGCATTTAAAATTAGATAAAGTGTGCTTCCTGCTCCTGTGCCTTCTCTCTTCCTTTCTCATTCAGCTTAGATTTCATGGTCCATCATTATCTTAAATTTCCAGGCCCTTCTTTGTGTTCTACTTATTTATTAACCAAGACTCTCAAAAACTTCTGTTCATTTTTTTTTTGATTCTTGAACCAGAGAAGACAGATTTTTAAAAAAAGGTAATACAATTACATTTATTATTACTAACCTCAAAGGTAAATTTACCACTGTATAACAATCCTACTATGTTTCTTTGATCAACTTGATCTACCATTCTTTGAAACAATTCTTTCAAATATTGCTTATTCTCATTTTCTTTTACTCTCAGATGACTTTGTCAACTGCATAGAAATGTGAGGCATCAAATGAGATCTTCAGGTTTTTACTACCAAACCTACAAGCCCATGAACATTTTCACCAATTTTCTTCTCCTTTTGAGCTTTTACATTAGAAGCACAGCATTCATTCTCCAAAAGCTAATATTTGTCTTCTTCACCTTTTCAGGAATACTAAATTCATGTTTTCCTAGTTCTTATAGTCATCCCTTCGTGCTTCTACACCTAATCATCCCCTTTCAGCAGTATCTTTCTTCTTAATTTATATATCCCACTAACCACTAGGTCTAGCTAATTACTTCCTTGAAGTTCAGTTCCAAAATTGTTAAGAGGGTGTGTTAAAAATGAAAATCCTAGGGCCAGGGATTTACCTCAGTGGTTTCACTGCCTGCTGTGCAAGCGCAAGAACCAGATTTCTATCCCCGGTACCAAAAAAAAAAAAAAAGAAAAGAAAATCCTTTGCAAATTGTAAAGCACTATTTAAAGAGGGTGGATATTATTACATTCTTGTTTTTTACAATCTAAACAGCAAAGTAATTAACTGACTTCCCAAAGTTTATTTCTTTGGCACATCTAAGGATACCACTGAATTCTCCATAATTATTACTTATAATTTAAAACTAGAAAATATTTTCAATAGGGCTAATTTGAAAGCATAAAAGATCTATTTAAAAATCCATGTTGAATTATTTTTGTTTAGACAAAGATATTACAGTCTAACAACTCACATTTATCCCATCATTCTTGTCACTTACTGAAGTAGTTCTGGAAGTTGTCTTTTAGGAGTGGCTTTACAAGATGCAATCAAAAAATACAGTGAATGCTGATGCTGTGTGCTATCCAGTAAAAAAGCAGGCTCATGAAAATATCATGTGTCTTCAGTCTTATTTACCAGATTTAACATTGTGCATATTTAGCATTGACTTCCCCAAAGTCAAAATCATTATGAAAGCTAAACATTTTTAATTCATTCAGGACATAAAAGGTAGCCATGACAGCTCAACTATAAAGACATAAAAAAAAGATTTCCAGAACGGCTTATGAATGTGGCAAGAATGATCAGTATGTACAAGGTGACAAGGAAGTTTTTTTTGAGAAGGATTAATGGCAATGTATCTTCTCTAAAATTTTAAATATTCACTGTATTTTCTGATCATACTTTTCATTAGAGATTAATCCAAACTCTGTTACAAACTCATGATGTTTGTTGACTCTTACTTTGAGGATTTGTCTAAATATATATTAACTAATATACAATAAATATCTAATAAATTAGTCTTGATTTATCACTTTAACCTAATAATTATGTGAGAACTATCAACTATGTCAATGAATAATAAATATAACCAATGAGTATTTATAAAATTTACAAACTATTAAAAAGGAAATTAATTTACTTATGGGTTTTGATTTTGTGGTTATAAAAGACAAAGAATTAAAGTAGAGTTAGAAGTGACTGGCAAAGAGCCAGGCATGGCGGCACACACCTGTAATCCCAGCACTGAGAGGCTGAGGCAGGTGGATCACCTGGGCTACATAGTGAGCTCAAGGCCAGCTTGAACTACATAACAAGACTCTGTCTCAAAACAAAAAGAAGTAATTGGCTTGTCTCTGCTTTTGCTATTTTGAAAGTGTTTTCATATTCATTACCTCAGTGGATATTTAAAACACTGGTGTTAAATTGGGCAAAGATTTGTTGAATATGATCCAAATTTTATGGCAACAATGCAATATACAGACCTCTGTACAAAAATCTTTAATTGAAAGACTTGGCATTTTAGAAAAAGAACATTCACTTAAATTATTCAGTTTGTTAAGATCTTTTGTTTACAGAATCATAAAGAGAAACTTGATAGGAATCAAGGTAGTTCAATCAGTTCTTAGATTCTATTTTAGTCAAATCCAGTTTAGTTACTGATACACCAAACATCTAAACTCAAGATTAAGATTCTGAATATCAATAAGCTCAGATATTAGACTGTAATAACTTTGTCTAAATAAAAATAATTCAATATAGGTTTTAGTTTTTTCTATGCCTTCATGTTAGCCAGAGGGTACATTAGGGTAACTTACCTCCAAAGATACTAACCCCTCCCATCTTTCCTTCCTACCACCCTCCCTTCTTTCCCTTTTCTGTATGTAGGCATGTATGTATTTCTGCATTACTGAGAATTGAACCCAGGACCTTTGCACTGAGCTACAACCCCAACCTTTTTATTTTGAGGCAGAGTCTCAAGTAACTAAACTGCCCAGGCTGGACTGGAACTTGTGATCCTCCTGTCTTAACCTCCCAGTGCATTGGGATTATAGGCCTGGGTTACCATTCCTGGCTCTTCCTTTTTACATATGCATTTTCCTTCTGAATCAAAAGGAAAAGATTTTTTTTCCTTCTTTAATCTAGGATGCTCCCCGTAAATTAGTTTAGCTCACATGATGCAGTGTAAATGATATTCTAGGAGTTTCAGGCCATGGCCTGGAGGACCAGGTTTCTATTGTCCCTTTTTTGAAAGGCTCAAATTTAAGATGCTACTTTTTGGATACCAGCCATCATGAAAGGAAGAAGCCCAGCAACCATGATGAAAGAACTCCAAGGGACCTGGAGATGCTACATAGGGAAACTGAGATATGATAGCTGGATTCCCAGTCAACAGCTACCATCAATTGCCAATTGTGTGAATGAACTATCTGGCCACTAGACATTCCTACTAATTTACAGAATTGTGATAAAATGGTTACTTTAAGCCAATTAAATTTAGAGATGGTTTATGAGTAATAGACAATGAAACAACGTGTTATGCCATCAAGTAGATAAAATGTACATCAAGACAACCCCTTACTCAAGAATTAAAACATAACAAAGCCTGTTTCATGCATTTGTGTGTTACATCTCACCACCCCATCTTGCCATCATTCTCTGACAGTAATCACTATTCTGAATGTTTATCATTCCCTTACCTCAAAAATTTGCTATTACATATATATATATATATATATATATATGCATTCCTACACAATAGTTTAGATTTTTTTTGTTCTTTAATTTTATAAAAACTATACATATTACATGTAGAGTTGAGTCTTGTTTTATCATTTTATTTCTACAACTCCTCTTTGTTGTTACACATAGATCATTCTCCCTGTTTAACAAAATAACAAAACAAAAATTTACTTTTCATTTTTGTCAATGGCCATTTGGTTGGTTACAAACAGGGCTACCATAAACACTGTTGTACATGTAATTTTTGAATGCACATATGCAAACATTTCCTAAGGCACAAATGTAGAGTTAGAATGGTTAGGATATGTGAGTGCCTAACTCTACAAGATAATGCCAAAGTGCTTTTTGAACAGTGTTACCAGTTTAAAATTCCACTTGGAGTGTGACAGATGTCTTCTTGATACAAATCATCTTCATTAGTACTATCATATTCCTAAATTTCAATCTACTGAATATCAAATGGCATTCACTAGGTCTTAGTCTAAGACTTAGGAGGTTAAATAAAATTTTTTTCATGTATCCAGTCACATCCTTTTAACATTTCTGGTTTGGCTTCTGCTAATTTTTCTACAAGATGATTATCGATGGAAGTGGAGATAATAGGCATCCTTATTATGCTCTTTTTAATGCATACAGCCTAGTAATGATGCATTGTCCTTTTGAATATAATCCTTAAAATAAAATCTGAATAGTGCTTCTGATTGTTTTAAGAAGTGCTATTAGTCTATAATTTCACATAAAGTGTCTGATTTTAATAAATTCCAGTCTCATACAATAAGCTGGAAAATACTATCATCTAGGCTTTGAAAGAGTTTATACACAATTTTGGAATAGAACAGTCTTTGCAAAAGGAGTAAAGATTATGATAAACCTTGGCCAGGTATTGTCAAAAATTTTAAAACTTTTTTTTACTGTTCAAAACTACTGAATGTCTATTTAGCTTTTTCATTTCTTCAGCCAATTTACACAAAGTGCAATTTTGTAAAGTTTGCTCTATTTTGTCTAAAATTTCAGATATATTAGCATCAAAGTACTCCTGGGTCATCTCTGCTGTATGTAGGGTTAAATCCCTTTTTTGGTATTTATGCTGTTTATATGTGTCATTTTCTTATGCCAGTTTTATATGCCAGTTTTGTCATTTGATTTTGTGATCTTGTATCTTTTTCTGATCCATTTATTCTTTCCTATATTTCTTTGCCTCTACATGCTGTTTATTCTGTTGTTTTTCTAACTTAGGTTACACATTTAGTTTTTTCTCCTTAATTTACGCATTTAAAGGGAGAGTGTTAGAGAAGAGGAAGGGGATCAGGGGAGAGGGGAGAAAAAGGGAGAGGGCAAATGGGGGAAATAATCAAAGTATTTTATATACACATACTACAAATGTGCCAAAGTGAAACCCACTATTCTGTATAACTAAAATTAAAGTGTTATTTCTGCTGTATTACCCAATTTTAGAGCAAATTACTTACAAGTAGGCTTTAAGTACTTGTTTTCTATTTACATCTACAAAGGCATTTTAGAATTTTTGTAAATTAAGGTTTAAAAAATTAACCTTTATTACTGACCTCTGTTTCTTGTTATCCATTCAATACCAATTATCTGAAATTTGTTATTTACTTCATGCCTAGTAGCTCAAAGCTTTTTGTAGTGTACAATAACTTTAAAATATTCTCTAATTGTTGAATACAATATTCTAAGTATGTACAATGAATCAGTGAAATGCTCTCACTCATTTTTTTTTGCTTGAGAGCTGCTGAAATATCTCACTATAGCTGTTTGTTTCTTTAGCCCTTTAGTTCACACATTCTTATTTCATAAGGTATTACACAAAATTAAAATTGTTCTTAATGTTAAATATTTTCAGTGTGCTTCCCTATCTTTAACATTATCAAAAAATCTAGGTTTTTATGTTTGTTTTTTTGGTGCCAGGGATTGGATTCAGGACCTTGAGCTTTCAAGGCAGGCACAGTGCCACTGACCTAAAAGTGGCAGCCCTCAAAAAGTCTAGTTTTGATTCAACATCACTACAATTACATGCTTTCTTTTAGTATTTGGCTAAATTAAGGCTTTTTCTTTCATCTTTACAACCTCCCCATGCTTTATATTTTCCTTTTTATTTTAAACCTTCTATAGCTAGTATTTTTTTAAAATTTGATAACTCAATCAACTAGGTAATTTAACATATTACTATTAGTGGTAATAGACCTTAGGGCCTTGTACATTCTAGGTAAGCACTCTACTACTGAGCTATATTTTCAGCTATATTAGGTTACTTTCTAATTTTGGTCTCCCCTCTCATTTATTTGTATTGAATTGTTCCCTTCCTATTTGTGATAGTTAACTGTGGTTTCAATTTGAAGCATCTTGCTGATGAGTTTAGTGTAGTTCTGGGTGTGTCTGATAGACTTACTAAAGAGGGAAGAACAATTCTGGGTGTGGGTGGCATCAACTAATAGGCTTATAGGATGGAATGAGAAAAGGAAAGAAGGAAATCTCACTTCTGTTTCTTTGGAGGAGGTCCAGTCTTCACCATCACCTTGATATGTATGTCTCCAGCCCTGCAGTGCAGACTCTTCAGCCTTTCAGCACACTCTTTGGCTTCCTGATGTGGGCTCACACAGGACTCTGCAGTGAGCTCCGGGCCTTTGAATTTTGACTGGATTCTTCAGATCTCCAGCATACAGATAGCCCTTTGGCATTCTTCCACACAACTTTGTAGGTGGCTACTGTATGTCTACCTTGTAAATTTATAACTTACATTAAATTTGCTCCTCTAGTGAACACTGATAAACCATGACAACCAGACACATTTCCTTAAACCAGTCTCCAGATACAGTAGCAAGTTCATAATTATGCCTAACATGGTACAACCATCCTGCATACAAACAGAAGCATACTAATTCCCTCCCCAGAATACAAGGCAAGTTTCTACTTGCAACATTTCTTAACTTAAATATTATACAGCAAGTTTAACAATACTTAAGAAATAATATTAAGTCTATCAGCATTATGTTACAAAAGAAACATTTTAACAAAATAGGAGAAAACAATTACAATTATAACCCTCATTTCTGTAACTGATTACTGGGCCTTGCTGTGATGCTACCTGGCCATGTGCTCCAGAAGCCTTAGGTACTGGCTTACGGGAGGAGTTTGGAAAGATTTGGAGATGCCGGCTGAGTAAGCCCTAGAATGCTGTCGAGTAAAGCCTAATGGGAGGTTTTGGTCAGTGTTCAGGACACTGGGATGCTGATAGAAATACAGCTGATAAAGAGCAGGGTCAGTTGGTTTCATTTGGGAAAGTCTCCACTGGTAGTAGGACTCTAGGCAATGTGTGTTGTGCTCTAGCAGAGCATTTGTCTACATTTTGCTCATGTCCAGACTTTGTGGGAGGCTGAAATTTCTTTTTTCTTTTTCTTTTTTTTTTTTGGTACCGGGGATCGAACTCGGGTCCTTGCGCTTGCGCAGCAGGGGGCGAAACCACTGGGCTAAATCCCCAGCCCTAAAATTTCAAGGCAGTCTAATGTTGAGATGGTGGGATGGATATTGTTAGGGGCTTTTATCCAGCTCTACCTTGAAAATCAAGAGCAAACAGTCCAGCAGAATGATTTTATTTATTTTGGCTAGAAAGGAAGCTCTGGTAAGGTTTGGACCTGCAAAGATGAAGTAGAGAACTTGGTTACTGAAAAGATCAGCATTAAAAACCAAGTACTTTGGAACAGGACAGTAAAAAAGATGGTCAGAGCACATCATAAGAACCAGCAAGACTTTACCTTTTGCAGGCTCAAAATTGCAAGGAAGACTTTGCTTTAAGACAGCCCTAGGGCACTATGCAGCAGCCTAGAGAATGGAAATTCAGTTCATCACATTCAATCATTCAGGAACTCTAAGGCTTCTGCAACCACCAGCAAGATGCAAAAAGGGCTCAGCTACTGCTCTATCTGGTGGCAAACCTTGGTGTCATTCACATGGTGCTGGTTTTAGGGGCAAGCAGAATGCAAGTTGTGGGGTCAGGAATCCTTCTACCCAGACTTCAGAAAGTCTGGGAAGCCAGGTAGTGTGATCCTGAGAGGGCAGTGTGTGAAACTGTGAGGGTGAAGCCAGTGCAGTGGAAACCCCAGAAAATTGGAGAAGCCAGGAATGTGGATCATCGGAGGAAAGCTGCAAGAGGGGAGCAAAGCCAGCATGAGAGTCGAGTGCTACAACCACTGGCAGTGCTATAGGTGCAGGGCCACCCAAGGCCTTTGGAGTTCACATCTTGCCACAAGTGGCCCCAGGTGCTGGACATGGAACTATGGAATTTAATGTCTGCACTGCTGCATTTCAGCTTTGCTTTGGCCCCATTGCTTTCTATCCTTATTTCTGCCCTTTGGAATGGGAATATGCATCCCATGCTATCATATGGTAGAAATGTTTAACTTTTTCATTTTTACAAGGGCTCAAATTTAAGTTTGCCTTAAATCTCAGAGGAAAGTTTGAACTTGGACTTTTCAGTAATGCTGTTATAACTTTGGCAACTTTTAGAGATGGACTATGCATTTGCATAACGGGATGTGCATGAGTCTTTTGGCTTATATCTAGATGTCCTGGGTCATGAGTGTGTGGTACTCATCACTGGATTAATCCACTGATGGGTTTATAGGTGAGTCTGTGCTGGGAGGTGAAGCCTGGTGGAAAGAGATGGGACAAAGCGGGAGTGGCATGGAGATATGATATCCCTCTTCTTACTTGCTGCTGCTGTTTCTTGCTACTATGTCACTTTCTCCTCTGCCATGCCACTCTGCCTTGGAGACAACTGACTACGGACTGAAACCTCTACAAAATGAGCCAAAATAAACCTTTTCTCCTTTAACTTGTGGGTGTCAGGTATTGTGTTCCAGAAATGAGAAAATAAGACACTATTTTTTATGCTTATTTTTCTTTGGAATGGTTCATCTCTCATCTATTTGACTGAATATACATAAGTAATTGTTTTTAAAGGTTAAACAGTAACTTAACCAGTTTTCTGAATAATAAAAGCAACTTCAGAACACTTTAATTCTAGTCACCCTTCTCCCATCTTACAAGCTGTGGTTTTTCCATTATAACTTTACTTGAAAATTCCAAATTAATGTTGTATAGCAGCATTTAGCTTTACATTTGTATATAATTTCTTATAAACACTTCTTTCATTACAATTACTTTATACAGAAAATAATTTAAATGTACTTATTTTTCTCATTTGATTTTCTCACTTCAGATCATCTGTTTGGAGTAATTTTCCTTGTTGAAGATCAAACTTTTGCAGCTTTTTAAATGAAGATCTGTTGATGGTCCTTTTTGTTTTGTGCCAGTTGTAAACTGATAGTTCTCAGAATTCTGAAGATACCGTCTTTTGGGGACATTATTGTTGTTGAGAAACCACTAAGTAGTGGATAATAGAAGATCTCCTTTCATTGCTTTTAAAATCTTGTTTGGTATCTTGGCATTCACATATGTGGCCTACTGGTGGATTTTCAGGTATGTTTCGGTATGATGAGCTTCCTGAATTTGTTTTTGCAACAACTGCAGAAAATTCTGTCATCTCTTCAGATACTATCTCTCCTCTATTCTTTTTTTTTAGTAACCCTAGTCCTTATAATTCTTCCCTCCATATCTCCTAACTTTCTAGTATTTTCTTGCTTTTGTTTCTCCTTGCTGTTCAATGGGTGATGTCTTTAGATCTAGCTTTCAGTTCACTGGTCTCTTCAATCAGTTCTCCACAGAATCAGTTCTATATTGTTCAACACATCCAAGTGTTTTTATTTCAATAAATATATTTCTCATCCTTAGGAATTCCACTTGGTTCTTTTCAGATCAGAGCCTGTGGCTCTACACTTTACCTTTATTTCTTATGTTGGTGATGAGAAGTTGGAGGACTAAATTCAATGTTTATTTTTTCCAGAAGTTATTTCTCATGCTTTCTAGTTTCATCTTGTGGATGATTTCCAGTCACAAAATAATACTGCTTAATCAGAATCTATGGAAACCTTGGACCTAATTAGAAATGTTTTCTGCCAGGAGCTACAAAGTACTACAAACAAAGTATTTAACCATCTCATGTTCACATCTGTCTTTCTACTTCTGGTGTGATGGAAACTGCATATGGTAGCACTGCTATTGGCATTTGCCGTCCAGAAAACCACAATTCACTTGGGTGTTTATAATAGCATTCATGATTCCCAACTTAAATATGCTCATTTTTGTAGGGGGAAAAAAGATAGATGTGTGGTTTTTGAAGATTTTTCCTACTTCTTTTGAACCTACTCAAAAGTAGATTTTATTCAGGATCTAGACGCTTCACAGAACTTAATATAACATCTACTGTAAGAATAAGTCTTATTTAACATATTAAAAGTTATGATATGTTAACCTGAGTAAGAATTTTGTCATTCTGTACTGACTCAGACCTCTTGGGAAAAGTTTCCGAGCCCTTGATCAGAACAAAACATACAATATATTGGAACTGAGTGTATATTAGAAAGGTCCCAGAGGATGAAGTCACTCCACAAATTGTGGCCCCACTTGGTAGGAATTTCTCCTAATGCTCTATTACTAAGAATACTAAGAACTGACTGTTCAAATATTTAATGCCCTGATCAATATGTGATCCAGATCAACAGGACTAAAAATCTAAGGTATCTTACTTTTAAAATCTTTTTTTTAAAAATAGACAATAATGATGAGTTACATGCAACTCTCATCTAAATGCATAACTTTATTTTTGAAAAGTTGGGCCACCTATAATACAAGCAGGGCTAACCAAGGCAGCTGTTGATTTCGTGTTAGTCAGAAACATACGCAATACTCATGGCAGCAGATGTGGCTGCTACTGTCTTAAAAGCAGGCAGACTGTTTACAACTTTATTATTCACAGTTGTTGATCAATGTTCACTGGATGATCAGGAAACTCTTTGTGCCTCACTCTAATCACTGAAGTAATGAAAGGAGATACCTGCAGCAAGGACTGCAACTGCAAATGCTGCAATCATACCTAAAACAAACACAAAATAAAGGGAAATGAAATGAGCAAAAGAAAAGCTTAATTGATCCTAGGTTCTGAAATGGGTAACAGATGGGCCTATAAAATAACACATACAATGAGACATACAAAAACACACACCCCCCTAGCGTATGTACATATATGTATGTACTAAAAGCCAATGAAATTGTAGAGGAAAATCAAAAACTAGATAGCGTCTCTCTTAAAGACCTATGCACAGACAGTCCTTCTAGACTAAGCAATTCCAAAAATCTAGAAGAAAAAATACTTTCAAAAGCTTATATAAATGTTATGTGTATACATATACATGTATAAACACAGACAACATACCAGTGATCTTTGGTTTAGCTTAAACAACTTTCAACTGCGTTATATCAATGATTATAATGCAAAGTCATTTGTACAGATATTCAAAACTCCACAAGCCCAAGTTCCACTACTATAAAATCTAAGTATTAGTAAGTATGGTTTGGTAACTTTGATTTTTCCTTGATTATAATAATTTTTTTTAAAAAGATACCGACCAAAGTAATAAAGAGACACAAAGAATTAGATAATTAACTAAAGTTTATCTAATGAGCAACAACAAATACAACTAAATTTCTGACTCACAACTCTCATTTTAAGTCTTAATGCTAAGGATTTCTCACATTATTCCACTAAATGACAGTCTACATGTTCTTTGTCCAAAGAAACCTGAAACATGTTGGAATACTGCACTTCTTAGAGCCTTTAGAATACAAAAGTGCATTATAAATTTCTAAACTTGAATTTGACTTTTTAAATAAAACATATATCAAAATCTCCTACAGTAGTAATTCTAGGAATACCAGTTTGGAAAGACTGGCCCTGCTACATTAAGCAGTTGCCAACATTTTATGTATTTTTCTATAAAAACACCAGAAGAGTTAATAGGTATTTCATCTTTGAGAGCACTTAGGTGACATTCCATTATTTATAAACCCTTCTATCTCTAGGGCCTGGCATTATCCATAATATTCAATAAATATTGGCTTAATCTAGTACTTTTAAGAAATAAAGTGAAAATAATTTTAAAGTAACAAGAAAACTCAAACACAAAGTATTATCTTTTCAACATTATAAAAAAATACCTATGTTGGGGCCGGGGATTTAGCTCAGTGGTTCCGGTGCCTGCCTTGCAAGCGCAAGGTCCCAAGTTCAACCCCAGGTACCAAAAAGAAAAAATACCTATGTTTTGCTGAATTTTCAGTACTACTGTAGTTTTAACTGGTTGTTCTGGCTGTTCAACTTCTGTGTTGTCCAATGAAGCCTCATTATTCATAGAGGAACTCATAAAAGCTGCAAGAAATAAGAATGAATCCTACATAAAATAAGAATTACCATTTTAGAGTTTTAAGAAACAATAAGGAAAATACACAATCAATACCATATTTCTTCCACTAATCTTTTTTATAAGATAATAAATTTATACATTTTTGAATGTAGATGAATTAAATGTCATGGAATTTATGTCAAATTCACAAATACTTAATGTTTTATCACTGACCTAGAGCAGAAGACCATAGGCCCAATATTGAATGACTACCACTCTTGAGTTAAAAATCAGTTATAAAAATAAGAAATGTGAAAGACAGCTTATATAGACCACAAAATATTTACTATTTGTTCAACAGGGAAAAAAATCTGGTGACTTGATCAAAACTGAAATTTGAAATACACAAGCAAAATATAATCATAAATTTGACCTTAAAACTACTTTGAATATTAAACAAGACGAGTACATCATTTTTGCAGATGAACAAAGCCTAGGAGGTTGAGTCCATAACTGAGGGTTATAGCAGTTAACCAGGGATTCAAACAAATTTTTTCTAATTCATTACACTGACAGCAATTTACATTTATTGTCCTATCTGAATTTAGCTCTGATTAAATAAGTGAACTGATATATCCTTAGAATGACATAGGCCAGTGGTTTTCAATTTTTTTCCTAGTGTTAAAGAATCCTACAAAAAATAAAACATGATAGAATATCACCATAAAATGTATGAAAGTAGTGTTCCTCAGGTTAAAGCTGGGATGGAACATTCCTACAGCCTGACCAATTCCTTTCTTCTACACACCTACCACTCCAGAAGTGGAAGCAGAGTACTGTCCTATAGAAATCTAGATAACTATATTTGAAAACAACTATTTCAGATTGATTCCTTTAGTTACGGGAGGAAAATTTAAAAAAAAAAAAAAAGACAGCAAATGTGCCAGAGACATAGTAAATACTACTGCTTCAAGGAAAATAGCCTATTTAATTTAAAATATCTTTATAGACATCTCTGTACCCCTTGTACTAGTACAGGCTCACAGGATGACACACAAAGTCACTGAAATTTGGGATCTATGGTACCAAACTGGATTAACAGGGGAAAAATCACATTCTCATTAATTTCCCATGAAGAACTGTTTACTGTGATTTTCAGAAATAATCACTGGTGATTACTTCCTTAGAATCAGGGGCACCACCATACCTTTTCCCCTTCTTTAAGCATTTAACTAAAGCTCTTTAAAAACTGACTGAAAAAAAAATTTTTTTTGGTGCTGGGGTCAAACCTAGGGTCTAGTACATGCCTGCCATACTTGCAAATGTACTACCACTCTGAGCTACATCTCTAGCCTTGTTCTCCTCTCTTCTACTCTCACATCAAATCAATCACAAAGGACTGTGAATTCATGTTATGATTTATCTGTATGATATTCAGTATTTTCACGGTTTCTAGTTTTCTCAAGGGCTATAACACCTTAGCTCTAGATTATAAGTAGTCCAACATTTCTTTCAACTTCAATTTCACATTTCTTTCAACTTCAACATATAGGTTTAAAAGTTGAATAGATAACACAATTTTATTCATGTTAAATAACTGCTCTTCTATGAGAAAGTATCTTTGCTAAAGCTTTGAAGCCAATAAAATCCTTACATCAAATAAAAATAAGGGATAAAGTATGAATTATACCTATTGGTGTAAGAAATTTCTTACGTGAATACCTATATATAAACACAAAAATATCTTGTCATCATATATGACTTACACATTTAATACTGAATTGTTACACACATAAATTCTTTTGTTATATTATTTACTTAACATTGAATTGTTATACATGAAGATGATGCTGTAATAAATCTGAGCACAAATGATCTACTTTTAGAAGACATTCTACTCCATTTATAAGTTTATCATACAAAGTCATGTGATTTGACACAGATTTGAGATAATTCTACAAAAGTGAATTATTTTTCAAGGATTAATAAGGCCTTGCCATAACAATTAATTTGTCAGATTGTCTTTGGTAAGAACTTAAAACTTCAGTAATTATGTCATTTCACCAATACTTCAATATTTTATCCAAAATTTAGAAGCAAGTAACATAGTTCAGTAGAAAATTCGATTTTAAGCAATTCTGTAAAACAATGTAATAAAAAATTCATACAATTTCAAAATTAATCATATCTAAAAGTAACCTTCTTGAAAGAAGAATAAAAGGAGTATTACACATGCAAAATTATAGATATGTTCAGATTTTACTCCAACTGCTAATGGGTACACAGGACTATTTGGAAGCTTAAAATGAAATGTTAGGATTTGAACTTCATACCTAGTTATTTTCCCTACCCCTGTATCATTATATTTGCCACTAAAGTCAGTGATTTACCCATGAACTAAACAACAAAAATTAACTTCAGCTCTCCAACACTAAAGCAGAATTGGCCAAGATAAATTTCACCAGATTTTAAAGGCATGTCTTCAATGTTTTTTATATGACACTATGGATAAAGTACATCTGAATTATTAAGTTAATGTCTACTAAGAGATGACTAACACACGTAAGAAATTTTAAAGCCAGAGTTATCCCGTAAGTGAGTCATTTTGACAAATTGCTCTTCATCCGTAAGTCACTTAACAGTATGTTATTTTAAGATACATACTTGGCAAAATATGTATTTTAAACATAGCAACTATTTGGTAACTATAACACAGAACAGAAATAATTAAATAATAATCACACAAATAATTTCCAATTGTACCTAGAAATAAAGCCAGATGCTTACAAGTTTAATGCTCCTGAATGTATACTTGACTTTTAATTTTTGAATCTAAACTATTTTTTGTAGTTTATTTTATATGGAAACCCTAATTTTAAATATTTTAAAAAACCTATGTATATTACTAATTTAACTTTCAGAATTTAATATTAGTTTTTCATTAACTTAGAACTTGAAAGTTGTTCTTTATATAATATTAATATTATATCTCTATTCACATTTTTTTATAGAAAATATGTTCCTTAACATTTTACCAAATTCTCACATCAACTCTAAGAACATGTGGGGCTCAGAAAGGTCTTGTTATACCGCCAAAAGTGGCAGATCTGGATTCAAGCTAAACTACTATAGTGATATCTTGGTTTTTGAATTCAATTCATTTCAAATTCATGTTCAAACACGAAAAGTTCAAGAACTGAACACATTTTTTTCCATAAGAAATAATGGAAAACCAAAGAATTGGTCTGAGGCCCAAAATTACACTTATAAATTCATTTCTCCAGGATGCGAACAAATTTCACAATGATTTCTTTAACTCTATGGTGGTTCTCAGTTTTCCTCTTAGCTTTACTGATGGTATCATTAAATTTCTTTGGAGACATGGATATGATCTTTTAAACAAATAAAGCATACACAAAAAGAAAGCAATGTTTAATGCACTAACACAAATAATATATGCTGTTTGGGCAAGAGCAGCACTTAGACTGAGGCATCACACTTCTGTGATCTCAGTGGGACATGACACACAACTCACTCTCTTGCCTATGCGCGTTTTTTCAAGTCAGATTTTCAGTTAGACCATCGAGTAAAGTTACGAACACTTAGCAGATTTTTTTTAACTTTGCTGTTTGAGTAGTAGAAAGTTCTAGCTCAGAGTCATTCAACAACTGAGGTATCACTGTATCTGTATCTTGGTTAAAATTATGGCATCTAACATCTTTGAGTCAATGAATAAATAAGTGAATATAATTCTAAACCAACAGGAAGTTTATGTTAATGTACTGAAGATTTTTATTAAAATTTGTAATTTTACCCTACTTCATAATTTGGGAATGTGTTCTCCACTGAAAATACACAGAATTACTAAATCATCCTTTCTAATTCAACAAATACTTGACGAAATAAAACTAATAAAATTCTAAACAAGTTATATTCTTATCTACATCTCCTACTAGTGTTGTTTCTAAAAAGCCGAGTTTTTACCTAAATTCAATCTTCAAAATCAACTTAAATGTCATCTGCTCTGAGCTGAATCCCTTATAGATAATCCCTCTGCTAAATGTTCTAAAATTCTGTTCATTTTTCTATTGTCGACTTAATCACCTTGTCTTGTATAATCCATTTCTCTGTATTACCCACTGTACTGTGAACCTAAGAGTCAGAACCATATCATTAATCTTTGGAATGCATAATCATTAGATCAATGCATAATAGGTGATCAATAAATCACTCAGCTGAGGATCATGAATGTCAAAAACAGGACAGAGTCCTAGAAAGATCATCAGTTACCATACTGCAGTATAATGTAGTCTTTACTACATTATACAATTTTTAGAAAGTAGGTAATACTATCCAGAAATATACAATTTAATATGAGCATAGTTGTTATATAAATATCTATACCTAAACTTTCCAAATTAGTGTTTTGTTCTCCTCATTATTATAATGTTAAACTCTTTCATGAAGTATCTTAAACTTTTAGGTAGAATTTCCAAGGAAAATAGTCACTGTATGTTTACTTAGAAATGAGTCAGTGACATTTTTAATTGCTTCAGTTATTTTTCTGAAGTGTCAGAGTTAATATTAAGGAAATATAAGCCATGATATTTAAACTAGACATCTCAGAGGTAATTTTAACTGTAATATAATCAGTTTATTTACCTGTGTTTATTTCCTCTGCAATTTCTAAACGTTCTATTTGAATTATCTGATCTAACATTTCTATAAAATGGTCTCTGATTTCTCCAGCTGATTCATCACCAAATTTATAATCACATAACATTACAGTAGATCCAGGAATGGGGACAAAAACACGGTGAGGGAGGATGTGGAACTCTTTTTCAGAATCTAAAAAGAGAATGAACATTATTATTATGGTATTAGTAAATATACATTTTAATAGTATATAAAAACATCCAATAGAAATAAAGCTTGAAATGCCAATGGTTTTTCATCATCTAATAGGGCAAAAAAATTGCTCTTACTTCATTCAACTCTGGACCTCTGCAGGGGACACAGGTACTCTTATGAAACTCACAAACTTATCATTGTCTTCAATGTAAAAATCTTGACTACACATTCTTGTATGAACCCCTGCCTGTCCTATAACGGAACACTCAAGAGAGAATTTCATCTATGGTCTATAAATTGTTCATTTTAATCTCATAAGCATTGTAAATTTTACAGCCAACTTTCCCCTTATTTATGCACATTTGAGCCAAACTAGGGGCCTACCCACATTAAGTATATAAGACATGACGATATATATTTTTGCATCAGTGTCACTATTGACTTCATTTTACTAGATATAGCCTCTTCCAATATCAAGCATATTCAGGTCATTAAGACACATATTTTGTGTACCAACCTTACTACTAATTATACCTTGCTTTCTTTTCCATATTCCTTTTGCCTCAATATTTATTTCTCTCATTTACTTGTCTCTTTGTAAACAGCCTTAAGTAATTTTTAGAAAAAAAATCTGAATCTACATGTTTCATTTTTCTTCGGATACTTAAAAACTAGAATTTCCCCAGATTCTGACATGAAATCACTGGATACATCTATGATTCTAACGAACTGTTGCAAAAATAGACATTTTGAGTAAAGAATGACCTCTGTCAGCAACAGATATGATTAAAAAGTTAATATAAATATCAAGTAGAAAATCTGTGCTCACTTTAATAGTAACCCATGTTTCCTTTATCGATAAACTTGTGTTAGCTGTATATAATTAAAAACAGAAGATGATGAATAAGGTCTTAAATGTCATGGGAAATGCCATGACTTAAACTAGGTATGCCTTCCAGATTCTGTGTATTAACTTGTTTGCATGAGAACTGGGAGAATAATTTTAGTCTTTGACCCGATTGCCTCCTAGCTGTATAACAACATTACTGCAATTTGTATTGCAGCATGTAAATTGTCTACACACTGAAACTGGGATTATGTTATTTTATTTTGAGACACAGACACTTACAAAATAAATTAAGTTAAAAAATTCTAAGATGGCTATAATGTGCATATGTAATTGGCTTGGCAACATTTTAAAACCACTTCAAACTGGATTGATTCTAAGACTGCTTGTCAAAAAATCAGGCTATAAAATCAAATGTTAAAGAATAACTTGGAATAAATTTAAACTACTCATTAAAAATATAAAACACTTATAACTTTAAAATTGAAACATTAAATTAACAATTTAGTATCTCAATAAGATCAAGTTTTTCAATTGGTTTGAGTTTAAAAACACATATCAAATAGTATTCCAAAGAAGAAACCTTTAGGATTCTTCCCCACAGAAAAGTATATAGTTTAACATTATACGAATAAATGCAAAACAGAAAAAAACATTTTCAATTTAGGCCAATTTTTGTAAGAACTGGATTTCAGCCAGTTGAAAACAGGATCCTAGCTTACATCTGTAGAGTAAGTGCTACCTGAGCTGATTCTTATAGGAGAAGCAGACATTTGCATACAGGGATGAGCAGTCCCATCCAGAGAGCAGAATCATGGGTACAAGGTAGACAGTATAACAAATGCTCTGGGATAACAAATAAATGAATATTGATGTAAGGATGAAATAAGGAAAGAGATCTCATAATAAACACTCTCAATTTTCACTCCAAGTCAGTTGGGCATGATTGAATGAAGACTTACAGCAAATAATGAACATTTAGAATATATCTTAAGGAGAATTAGAAGAAACCAGTAAGTAAAAGGATTGATTGGAATTTTTATATTGTTTTAAAATGATCATTAAAATATTAAGTTCTTTCAAACAAACAGCCAAACTCAAAGATTTCTTTTACTTTAAAGATTAGAGATGTAAAGTTAATATACCTTTTGCAGACACATGCAAAAATACTTCAAATCTGGTTAATGTCTACATTTTACCATATTATCTGCCAGATCTTATCATATAAGAAAGATAAGCTAAGTAAAATCCTGGGCTGACTTCACTGGGATCTCATTTCTGTCATTAACATTACCATATAGGGGATCAGACTCACAGCCTCACACATGGGAAGTTAGCATTCTACCATTGAGCTATAGAGCCAACTACCAGCTGCCATTATACAATGCAGCACAGATCAACAGAATTGATGGCACTCAGAACTACGCTGATGCAGATATAATGCCTCTGAACCTCCAAAACTGAGTTAAATAAATCTATTTATAAGTAGCCTACCTAAGGTATTTTGTTATGGTGACAAAAAGCTGACTAATAAAGAACACAATAATTTCAAAGTATTTGATCTTTCTATCCAATCACACATTTCATTCTCTTCACATAGGTCCCAAGGCCACTCAATTACCCAGTAAAAACTTTTTAACTTTTAAAAAATCTAGGATTAGTTTATATTCATTTCTAAATATATCAAGTTGAATGTATAAATAGTACAACTGCTGTTAGAAGCTACTGATCTTACTAACTGGACATCAGCAAAGATTTCAAGAGAATAATTCACTATTAAATAATATCGAGGCAGTCATATAGCAACATCTTTATAAAGCATTTTTAAATGAAACAATGTACACTGATGTGTGTAACAACGTAGATCTTTGGCAATAATGGTGAATAAATCCCCATGTTCATGAAAATCATAAAACTGATAACTCAGCTATAACACAGAATGTTGCTCAAGAAAAAGTAATGATTAATACTACAAGAGTTACCACATAACCAAAATCAAATAGCGAAAATAAAACTTCATTGAGTAAAGGCTGCCAGGATAAGGTATGAGAAGAGGTTCCACATTTCCTTCCCCCAAAAATTTCAAACCAACTGGGTTAAGAGTCAAATCTGTATATACAGTAAATAAAATTTCAAGCTTTTTTCTTAATTATGGGATGGATAAATGCTTAATCTAGCTATTCCAAGGACCAAACATACTAGGAATGAAAAAAGGCTATGTAGCTGAGAAGTATATATAACTTACACAGTTTATAAGTACTATTAAAGAATCTATTCTATAATACTCAACTATAATAAGTTAATACTTTCATTATAGGTACTTAAAAAAAAAAAAACTCAGGTAACAAAAAATATGAACTTTAAACTGCCAAAAGTTTAGATTCTGGCAGGGGAAGTTTACTCAGAATTAGTTTTTTAAAAATCTTCCATGAACTTGTTAAACATTGTCAGTTTTACTATTATAAAGTGTTCCCAAAAACTGGGGGAGTGGATAGCAACTGAAAAATTCTTTCAATAATAAAAGAGACAATTGGTATAAACGATGCTGTAAAAGATAGTTTATCTATTACATCTTGATATCTTACTATATCAAACAGAACGTATGCCCTCCAAAAAGTACTTATTTTATACTCATAACTTTTTTTTCTGGACTTTCATTCAAAAGTAGATCCTCAAATAGTATTTCACAGCGATCAGAAACTGTGTTCAATATATCTCTCTTCACTGCCTGGGGGGAAGAGGTACAAGCAAAAACAAAAGAAGAAATCAAATACTTTAGATTTACATTAATTACCCCCCCAAAAAACCCACATAATTTGCTTCCTAATATGATCATGTCCACTAAAAACTGATACATCATTCCATTTGTTATTTCCATTTACTTAGCATGCCTATTAACACATTTATAGTTTAATGACAAATTTGCTAAGATATCATCTGCATAGTAAATTAAAACCAAATACATGAATGAAATTTTGCACTTAAATAAATCTTGCCAATACTTCAAATTAGGAAATGTATTATTATGATATAAATGTAAGTGGTCATTTTTTAAATTTTAAAAATTGCTGTGCTATGGAACAGTAGTACCTAATAATTTTACCTATACATATTTTCCTGTTTAAAAAATTCAATTTCCTTCAAAAGAAGTGATTTTTTTCCCCCCAGTACTGGGAACTGAATTCAGGACCTTGCACTTGCCAGGGAGGTACAACGCCACTGAGATACATCCCCGGCCCCAAAATAAATGGTTTCATTTCATTACAGTTGTGGTGGTGCACATCTATAATTGTAGCACTCAAGAGACTGAGGCAGGAGGATCACCCTGAGTTCAAAGCCAGAGCCAGCCTGGACTACACAGTGAGTTCAAGGCCAGTCTGAACTACAGAGACCCTGGCTCAAAAAACTAAAAAAAAAAATGACTTCAGATGTACTAAAGTGTTATAACTGTTTTTTACTAAACCTATATGATCATAACTTTTAAAAGGTATAATATAGATATTCTACATGTGAAAATCTTGGATCAAATTACACAGTATATATGGACTGCCCAACAGATTGGGTCATCAATTAAAATCAAATTATAATTATAAAATCTGAGGTTCCGAAAGAAAATATTAGGATGTTTGAATAGTTACGTTAAGTTAGTTCCATTTTCATATGCCAGTAATTCCTTTCTGTACCTGCACAGCATCTTTAACTTTGGGTTTGTTGCTATGAATGTAAGCTCTGCATTTCACATCACCCTTAAGGTTTATAGAACCGCTGCAGATCTGGACTGTGGCTGTGGATCTGTGGTCCGAATTCAGGAACTGAAAGATAAAATTTGTTTCAGTCCTAACTGCCAACAATATTAGTAGACACTACTTAAGCCACTTTATGGAAAGAGGAATTTATGACTGAGTTAAGTGTTTTAAAACATTATCTCATTTATTAAAATACTTCTCTTCATAAGTTACATTTTTTTCTGAGCATTGTGAATGTCTACTAAAATCAAATCCAATTACATTGAAATGTTTTTTCACCTACATAAACATTTAAAACACCAATATTCATTCAATATATTAACTAAAAATATGCTACTTGCAGAATACTTAGATTAATATCGTGACGATAAAAAGATACAGACATGATATTGTAGGAAACATAGGGTATGCAATACAAGAACTGCACAAAAATAAAAGCACATAGTAGGATGTGATAAATATGGTAAAGTTATAAGCAATGCAAAGGCCCACATTTATTTATCACTTTAAACCTATAATTTCCATATGCTAAAAACTTTTATTTATGTAAAAACAATGTTAACTATGAATTTTACCAGAAAATATTACTGATTTCAAATGAATGAAATAGTTATCATGTTCATTTCACAATCCCATTTTCTTTAGTCTAAAGGGTAATCATTCCTGCTTGGTTTTCAGGTGTTTCACAGACATTTTTAACCTATTCATCTTAATAAGTGCCAAAACAGAGAGAGCATGTACACATGGGAGGTACAAATAAAGGCCTATCATCACAATGGAAACAAAAATTGTGATTAAAAACAAAACAAAATTTAAAAACTGGACATGAAAGTAATTTACATTCTACATACCCTTTCAATAATAGGGTCCATTCGAAGAACAGAAAGCAAATTATACAATCTGTGAAAGTGCTATAAGCATATAAGCCTATGTAATGAGAAGAAATGAGGAAAAAATATGAAACAAATAGAAGGACTTGAATACGAGGGCATAAGTAGTTAATAGCTAATCTAATTCAGACAAAGGCTAGATCTGTTTAAGAATTCAAATTCAATCATGGCCTTGCTAGTAAAAAAATGTATCACAGACCAAACAGTTCAAAAATGTTTATCACCAAATTAAGCAGCAGGCTGACAATGCTAATACTATATTTGGAATTAGCGTCAGATAACATTTGTAGAGTTAACTGATAACATGAATAAGGTAAGGGTGGAGGAGAATAATGGACTTCCCTTACCCACTCCACAAATCTTTAGTGTCAATGAAACTACTCTATCTGAAAAATGCCTTATTTTAAATATTCAGTAGTTAACTTAAAATATATCTTTTATCACATTAACATTTATAATACATATATGTATCAAAAATATACAAATATTGGGCTATATATAAAAGATTACACACATATACATTTCAAGGAAAGAATTTTAAATATGTAAGGACTGACTTATTCTTTTTGAGTGAAAATATAGTTGGGTTCTACAAATGTAAATTCCTCTTGGTTACATGGATGTAGAAACGAAATGGCTTACAAACAGTTTTTGGGAATCTAATTTGTTCGTAAGTGAAGAACTCTGTGACACTGATAAGGTATTTTGGAAAAAAGATCATTCTGGCTAGGGTGACCAAATGAAACCTGACAAAAGCAGTGCACTGTTATAGATTGTAATGTACAAGCAGAATTTTAACTGGACAAACCGGAAAAGATGGCATTAACAAAATACATGGTTCAAGAAATACTCAGAATTTTAAAAGCACATCAAGCAAACGTCTAGAATGCTAAGAGCTATGCTGAAACTATGAAGAGTCTTGTATTCGACTTTCCTAAGTAGTCAATATACAGGAATTATGGAATTTGAGCAAGGACAATAACAAAATCAGTGTTTGACCCATATACAAACAAATACTTTCGGAAAAAAAAAGTTAATATAAGTGAATGAATGCAAAGTGTGATTCAGAAAGGATAAACCAGTGTTATATACATAGGCTAAAGTAACAATATAGAAAAGTATTCCATGCTACAAACAATAATGTAAGGGTTTTCAGGGATGACCACTTTGAGAAAGGATGTGTATCTCAAAGAGATCAGTTTTAAGAGTTACATATGTTAATCCAGGTAAAATCTTACTGTTGTAAAGCTAATTAGAGTGGAACTGTAAGGAAAATGAAAGATTTTTCACTGTAAAGAAAGTACTTCTTTTCTACAATATATACTGTTTCCGTCAAAAATTCTAATTGAGTGACTAATGGAATAGCTGACAAAAAATATTAAATATTACAAGTATCCTTTATAATATCATCTCTCACTCTTCTGTGTATATTCCCGTATTCTATATATTGCCTAACTGCAGTTTTTTTTTGTTTGTTTTTTTGTTTTTGCTACTGGGGATCGAACTTGGGTCCTTGTGCTTGCGCAGCAGGCGGTGAAACCACTGAGCTAAGTCCCCGGCCCCTAACTGCAGTTTTTAATCACTAAAATAATTTTAAGCAAACTGCTTAATAAATCATGAAATCAATCTAACTAGTAAAGAGCATGCAACACCACTACAATCAAAACAAAGATAGAAAATGACACTAAAAATACTTTTAAGGTACTGGTAAAAAAAAAAACTGGGAACAGATTTTCAGAGGCTTAAATTCAGTGACAGCTTAGTAATGCTCTTATAGTTAAACAATGAGATAAAGAAATTAAAATATACTCATGAGTCAAACAAACTGTCTTTCATTCTATTTTATTCAGTTAAAAAATTATAAGCCCTGGTAGTATTTTTCTGTTTCAAAGTCAAGTATAATACTGAAATGAAAAGTTTCCAGAAAACATGGTTATACCCTTGTCTATTACAGATATTTATTAATCAAAAGCATGTAACTTTTAGAAATAATTACTTTTAATGCTTTTTCTGTTTCAAATTTCCAAATATTTGCATAACTTAAAGAACCATACAAAAATATGAAACTTGATAATTCATATTTTGTGATTTTTATCAACTCAGAGGTGGCATAAATCTTTAAATTAGGGATTTGGTAACTCCTGGCACATCTGTGGATGTATTTTTTACTTTTAAATTGCTAAGAATTATAACTTAACTTATAAAAATAAATGCATGCACACAGAGGTATGTGTATCCATGTATATATTTTCTATTTAAACAGATACCTACTTGATAGCCTTGAGGTAAAAGACTTTAATAATAGGTTTTATTAAAACAATGTTTCTTGAGAGTAGCTTTCTTGTAACTAGATTTTATACAATTGCTTACACCTCTAAAATTCTAATTATAAATAAACACAAATAATTTCATTTGTTATTCTAAGAAACAACATACTTCAAATGTATTTTAAAATATTTACCAACTGTGTTAGCACTCGAACATCAAAAGAATGGCTAGATGCTTTAGTATTTCCTCTAGATTTTTTCTAAAAAAACAAACAAACATACAAACACACAAAAGTTAAAAAGCCACTGTTGAAACTACAACTGGAACATGAAAGACAATTTAGGAACCATCTCAGAAATACTAAGTAAATGAAATGAAAAACAATTCTTACTTCTTATTATAACTCAGCTTTTTAACAGATATGCTAATTTTATGTATTCTTTATCAACCAATATGCTCTCTTAAAAACAAATTCCTATGTTTAATTCCTCTAGAGCAAGGGCCGATAAACTATTGCCTGAGCCAAACACACACTGCCACCTGTCTGTGAAATAAAGTTTTACTGGGACACAACTATAATCATTCATGTACATGATCATTAATGGCTACTTTCACCCCATGACAGCAGAAATACATAGCTGTATAGTCTGCAAGATGTAAAACATTTATTTTTGGCTTTTCACCTAAATTTTGCTGACTGTCAAAGTTCCTCTTCATTCAAGTTAAAACTATTTTATAAGCCCTACTATTATAGTAGAACATGGGTTTTTTAGTTTTAAGTATGTAGTTTTCAATTTGGATATTAGATGGAATTTAGATGACACTCCCAATTGAAGGTTTTAATATTCCAACTACATTAGAAATAATCTCCTATCATTTTCTGACAAAAATATTTGTTCTATAGTTTCAAAGACCTCAGAAATGAATACATGAAAGCTGTTTTCATGAAGGTAAGGATTAAAGATACATCACCTTTTCTTTTTCCTTAAGAACAAATTATTTTATAAGTAATATTATTTTCTCCTAACTCACCTGTCCTTCTAACAGGTCACAATCTTCATCCTTAACTTGTCCATTAATAAAATAAATACCATTTTCAATTTGCTTGGCCCAGCGGGTAAGTCCATTCTTAAAAGAAATACAACATAGAAAGCTTTCAGATATGTCATCTCAAATAAACTCCCTAGACTCTAATTTTTTCCACCTAGTGAAAAATTGAAAATCCTTAATTATCAGTAATGTAGTGTCTAAATCCAGTCTCACAAATTAAATAAAAAGACCAATTTCTGGCACCTTACCTTATTTTAATAATACATTTTTTTGGATCTTTATCCTAAACTAACATTTATATCACAGATTCCAGTCTTATTAACTTACATGAACACAGTAAAATAAAATTCAACAATGCCCTTTATTATTTAAAAAATGAAAGAGACAAAGAGCTTCAAATAACATAAAGCAGTATTGAGGGAAAAATAAGCAAATTCCATTTGCCTTCTTCAATGTGAAAAAAAGAAAAATTAGACAAAAGGATGACATCAAAATATAAGAAAAGACTGGAAAAAGGAGGACAAAGCTAATGAGGACCAAAAGAAAGCTACAAGACTAAACAGTGTCTGATATAATTACATTTTACATACGCTAGTTAATAAATATTTATTAAGTACCTATTATGCTCTGACACTGGTCCACATGTCTAAAAAATTTCTAATCTGAGGACCGGGGATTTAGCTCAGTGGCACCATGCCAGCCTCGCATGCGCAAGGTCCTGAGTTCGATCCCTGGTACTGGAAAAAAAAAATTTCTAATCTGGCTTGAACATTTGAGGATTATAAAATGACACAGACAACCAGAATAATAGCAGAATGTCCACTCAGCAATTACTAAAGAAAGTTCATTTTACCCTGGTACCTTTGTATTTTTCTCCAGAGTATAGCTGACAGAAGTCGCAGAAAGTGGGATGTGAATATCAATATGAACAGTACACTCAAGAGAAAGCCATGAGGTAGATAGTCTATTTTGATACTTCCAGTCTGCTGGTCTTGCTGAACTCTTCAGCAAGGGAGAAGGTAGAAAAACAGAGTATACTGTAGTTAAGATAAAATATATGCATCAATAAAACACCATAAAGTGTATAACCTATTAACTCAAACAAATTTATATCCAGTATATTTGGCCAAATTCATTGATCAAAGGGCAAAATAGTAGAATTAAGAAATAAAGCATGCATTAAGTTCAGTAATCCTTAATAATACATTGTAGGCAAACCGCCACATCCCCTAAAGGATAGGAAGAAAAATATCAGAGTATTCCATGTTTAGAATTCCAAAGTCTTCTGGATCTTCACCTTTTACCTGTACCCTCAATAGTGTCACTTCTGAAGATCTAGATGTGCAGCAAATAATTACTGAGTGATTAGTAGGTGCAAAACATTCTCCTTTCTGTCCCATCCTTGCTAAAAACATCGCAAAATTACTTTTTCACACTGCTTTTAGATACCTTAATAAAATGCTGGCCTAGGTTCTGCTGAATACAGGCAGCTTGTTTACTAAGCCCAAAACTACCAAAAGTCTTCAGTCATTTTTACTCTCAGCTTTTCAAATACAAAAGTGAACACATAAGCAAAGTAGAAGCTTAAAAATATATTAATAATTAAAAAAAACCTTTTCCTTGCCTGTAAGGAAATTAATCTTATTTCAAAACAATACAGGTGCCTACTGATATCAATAGGAAGTAATGGAATTGAAAATTATTAAAACTAAATGAAAAGGTGAATTTTAACTTAAAAGTAGTTCCAACACAGAAAAATATTTAGAGTAATTTTTCTTACCTTTGGATCACAGACATCGTAAGTTCGACAAGATATTCTTTACTAATTAAGGACAGAAATAACCAAAATAGGAAACTGGATAATCAACAAAATACAAACTATCAAAAAATAAGAGTTCTTACGAACCATAATACTTAATACACTTAAAGATACATAAATAAATGTACAGATATATCTATATCTTTATATAAACACAAAATTTCTCTGTCTTCAGCAGTTGTGGTACTTGAAAACTATTTCCTTCTGTTTATAAATATTGCTGATCACAATAAACAGAATGGACGCACTTATGTAATTTTCCTCAAACATACCCTCTATAACTAAAGTACTGTTTTGGACGGGGTCAAACCCAAGAATGTTCACTGGGTCAAAAGGCTTGTATATATCGCTGCCTGCTGTGCAAGCGCAAGGACCTGAGTTCGATCCCCGGTAACCCGCCCCCCCCCCAAAAAAAAGGCTTGTATATAAAATTTTCCAATTAAATACCAAATAAGTTAAAAGTTATCTTCTGCAGGAATAGTCAGTTTTTACATTGTTTTCTTATATTTTTAAAAATATAAATACCTAAATAAAAGATACTTTTTTGTAGAAGAGCAAATGTGAAGTATCACTCGCTCTGAAACTTCCTCCTCTGTGAAATTCCACAGTCTTTTTCTATTCATAGACTTTTCCACAGCATATATTAGCTGAAATACAGAAAAATACACATTATTACACACAAAAAAAATATTAAGTGTGGAAAAAAGGCAATTATAATGTCCCTAAGCTACCATTTAGCTTTAAAATTTCATGATTCTTTTTTTGTTTTGTTTTTTCTGGCTTTTTTGACACAGGGTCTCACCTTGTAATTTAGGCTAGCCTTGAACTTGAAGTGACCCTGGCTCTGCCTCCCCAAGTGCTGGGATTATAGATGTGTCATCATGCCTGGCTTAAAATTCCATGATTCTGGGGCTGGGATTTAGCTCAGCGGTTCTATAACCTGCCTGGAAAGCACAAGGTCCCAAGTTTGATCCCCGGTATGGAAAAAAAAAAAAAAAAAAAATCCATTATTCTATCATTAACTTTTCTCAACTTAAAAATAAACAGTAGAACTAATATATTAACTGGTTTTGGATTCCATTTGAAAGATTTAGATTAAAATGTTTTCTATTTTTACTTTTATTGGTTATACAGATTAATGGGTTTCATTTTGGCAGATTCACACTAGAATATAACATATTTTGATCATTTTCACCCACTCACCATCCAAAATTGGGTTTTAAATAGAAAAATATAAATCAACGTCCCTAATGATTAACTGGACATGAAAAATTAATTTTGAGCAACTAGCATTTACATATAGAATAAGGACTTTAATTTGAATGAGAAATAAGGAATGATTTTCACTATAAAAATGGAGAATGGTAGCATTTAGCAATTCTTATTTAAATATCACAAGAGAAAAAATACACAGGATACAAAAATACAGCAGTAACAAATTACAAGTGAAAAAAAATCAGAACAGTGACATAAATTTGTATCAGAAATAAGAATTATCAAATGAACACTTGATATGGGGTAAAAGTGTCAAAAATGTGGCTGTCAGCTTTCTAACAATAATATGCAGACAGAAATTTAATTTGTTATACAATTCACATGGTCCTAAACTGAAAACAACTGAGCAATAGAGGCACAACTTTCTTGATGACAGTATCAAAAGAAGTTTCTCCAGAAACACAACACTGTGTAATAAAATGTAGCATTTTATAATAAATAAAGCTTTTAACAATAAACCTTACAGAAGACATTAACAAGTTTTAAATGTTTATGTCTCTCAAAGTAGGCCAATGGAAACAAAGTTAATTCAAACTCAACAATCTCTGAGGCAGCATTTATAAAGTCTCACATACTTTTTAAAAACAAAACTTAGAAACCAAAAGGAAGAATTTGACTGGACCTGTCTATATCATCTATGTTCACTCCATTCAATTCAGTGCCAATCACAAAAAGATTCACAAGCCATGCTATGAACATTAAATTCACATGGACTTAAAGTATATTTTAAACCGCCAAAGATGAACAAGGGTGAAAAGAGGTAAATTCACTTAAAATGGAAAAGATGATAGAAGAGTGAAAAATTTCATGAAAAGGGAGGATCTGCAGTTTCTTCTCTGTCTTCACAAGATACCAAATACATGACGGGTGGGATATCTGATAATAGAGATTACAAAACTGAAAGAATTTCAGCACCTAGGATTTTAAACTGTAGTTTTTCTGCTAAAACTTTTTCCCATGGGAAAATCTGTGGGATTTTGTGCTTCTAGAAAGTAAAGCTCTTTCAATATAACCCTAGCATACACAATTTGGAACATTAATTACATCTAGGGTCACTGTGTATACATAAAATGAGTATACATAAAATAACATGTAACTCTGATATTATTAGGAATTTTTAACTGGATATTATGGCCCATGCCTGTAATCCTAGCACTCTGGGAGGTTGAGGTAGGATAATCACAAATTCAAGCCCGGTCTGAGAAACTGAGCGGCTTAGAAAGATTGGTCCCAAAATAGAATATAAAAGGGCTATGTAGCTCAGTGTGAAGGACTTGGGTTCAGTCCCCAGTACTGAAAAAACATTTCTCGATATATCAATCAGACTTACTCTGCGCACGGCATTTTGAAAGTCGTTTGCCAGTTCTAAAGTTGTGATAATAAATACTCCAAGAACTAAAAGTCCCCCTGGTAGCATTCTGGATACCTAAACATAAAAATACAGTATTAGTTACCATAAGCAATGCAGTCCTTTCTATTTGAGAAATTAAATATTAAATCGGCATATATCTACTGAGTATCAAATATTCACAAGTGTTGAGGCAGGGATAGCTGAAAAATTGAATAAAATAATGAGAACCATGATAACCAAGATAAATGGAGTGTCATTATGTATATAATCTTCCTACAACATCCTTAGCTTTTTACTTTAAAATTATGATAACAACATTTTTAGCTGCACCAATATATAAACCCTTTCCTCATAAGGTTGAAAGACTAAAATAACTTCCGAGATTTTTTCAGTTGCTTCTCATCATCAGCAAAGTAAATTTTATTTCATGATAAAATTACTAAAATATTTCACCTGAGGTAAAATATTTTATCTTAGTAACTTTATCTAAGATAAAGTATGTATTTTATACTTTAAGATAAAGTATGTATTTTATCCTTTATCTTAGACTCCTACTTTAGTCTTTCCAGAATCTGTTTTCAGCCTCATTTGACACCACTTTTCCTGAATTATTCAACTATCAGTACAAAACTATTCACTGTTCTTCTTATATACTCCCACACTTTGTAACTCTATTCTTTTGTGGAAGCTGTTCCTTAGCCTGAATTGACTTTCTCTTATACTTCTATTGGATATTTCAGAGTCTAATGAACTTCCATCAGAATGTGGTGTAGTCTCCCGTGGATCTTATCACACAACCCTTTATATACATACTACGTACATACATACATACTACTAGTTCGGTTCTCCATAATCTGTATTTCCCTTCACTTCATTGAGGCTACTTCTTAATGTCACATGGAATTTTCTCTGCCACCAGTTATCACAATCCTCTGGTTACCTATTTGTTACTTAATGTATAAGCAAATGATCGCAAAGTTCAGTCTTAGAAAATGGGATACCATAGTTTAATCTCTATTATATTTATATTGTACCTGCTAATAATGGTTTCTCTGATTTCATAAATTCTATTTACTATAGTGCCACAAATTTAATAAGTTTTCATATTTAGCAAAAGAAATCTGTATATCTTTTCAAAATCACCAACATATAAAATTAATCATTTCTCTTTAGAGTAAAATGTTAATTTATTATATAAATTCATTCACATTCTCTATGTATATATACACACGTATACATACAGATATACACTCATACCACATAAAATTTTATAGGAAACCAAAAGGAAGATTAGAATAAAGTTATCTTAAAAATCTCAGTCATGTTCAGCTGCACTCTCCCTATATCTCCTCACTTGTAATTTACTTGATCACCAAGTCATCTTGATTTTTGCTCTTTCTCTGAAATTCCTGGGTAATGAACTTCTTGCCCACTTATCTAATATTTTGGAGTTCCCATTACTGTATAAACCATGGAAATGTGCCAGGCCTTCAGGATATAGCAATAAATAAAACAGATGTGACTCTGGCCCTCACAAAGCTCAGAATCCAGTTTAAATTCGTATCTGGTTTTGTTTGTGGGGGAGGGTACCAGGGATTGAACTCGGGACCCTGAGCTTGTGAGACAGGTAGTGGAACGAGTTCATGTATTTTTTTTTTTTTTTTTTACTATTACTGTAAATATGTTTTCTAGTCTGTGCCCACCCTCTCTTTTATCTATATAAAGTAGTCCAAGATATCAAAGGTATCTTCTAGATTACTATGGAATCAATCTCATTAACTACTTCACAAAATGAGGATCTCCAAAAGTACCATGAAGCTACTGTTTGGCAAATACATTTCCCTTAGGACTGCACTCAAAAGCCACTCATAGGGCTGGGGATTTATCTCAGTGGTGCCACCGCCTACCTCACAAGCACAAGGTCCCGAGTTTGATCCCCAGTACCAAAAAAAAAAGCCACTCATAAACTGGCCCTTTCCGATCTTATGTCTAATTATATTCTTCTTCTACATACTCTACATTTCAACTATGCCAATTGCTTGCTATTCTTTTTTTTTTTTTT